TGATGGATGAGGAAGCTGAGACCTAGAAAAGTAGCCACCCAAGGCCATCTGGGTAGTGAGTGGCAGAACTGAGACTGAAATTCAGAAGAGTGTTCTTTCCACTGTGCTCCACTGCTTTAGGAGGGAAAATGTGGGCCGGGAGCACCTCCTGGAACCTGAGGAAGAAACACAGGGAAAAAGAAAACAAGAGGGGAAGACTGCAGAAACTCTGAGAGGAAAGAGGGAGAATGAAAGGCCCGAGGAAAAGTGAAGAGGGAGATGGGTAATCTCTCTGGGCAAAAGGAATGCCAGCTCCATCCTCCATTAAGCATCGTACTCTCCATGTTTTGTTCCTAGTAATGACAGAGAAGATACAACCACTGAATAGGGGGAGGACCATGGTTTGGTCAGTGAGAGAAAAGCCTAGATTAGATAGAAGCAGGATAATAACACAATCAGAGAAGCAATGAAGTTCCAATCGGAACTCACACATTGTACTCCCAGCACTTAGGTTGTGCTGAGAGTCCCTCTTGACTTGCTTGTGGATACCACTAGGTTATAAAGCCATTGAAGGGACTATATAGTACTCATCCTCCTGTCTCCAGGGCTTACCACAGTACCATGGCATGCAGTAGTTGCTCAGAAAGTTTGGTAGACAATGTTATGGAAATTAATACATTCGGTATGTGTATATGTATTTATAAATTCAACACCGATATTAGGTGCTCCCTGAGAAACATCTCTGTGTTGCACTGCAAATGCCAAGACATTCTAAGCGGGAACCTGCCTAGGAAGCTGGGTACCTCTGTCTGGCGACATGAAACAACTCCTGGGCCTTCCCCAACTGAGACACAGACCTCAGAAGCTCCACTGGGACCAGGTAAGGTCTGCAGGAAAGTACAGACAGGATTAAGTTAACATTGACTGTTGTCTCTGCCTGGTAATGGACCTCCAGAAGAGATATGGGTTATTTTTGTCCAAATTGTCAATGCCCTCCAGCCAAAGACCACCAGGAACACTTTTGTGATTGAACAAATTGGGTTCATTGCTTATTGCAGCAAAGAAGGTACCCTATGGGGAACCATGGGGTGTCTCAGGAAAAGGGTTCTAGAAAGTACAGGGGACTTGAGGGAGGGTTTAAGGAAGCCAGGCTTTTCTCTGGATTGGCTACTGCCAGAAAGCAGGGGTAATTCTGTGATTGGATTGGGTATCTTCTTTTTTATTTATTTATTTATTTTTGAGACAGAGTCTCGCTTTGCTGCCCAGACTAGAGTGAGTGCCATGGCGTCAGCCTAGCTCACAGCAACCTCAAACTCCTGGGCTCAAGCAATCCTACTGCCTCAGCCTCCCAAGTAGCTGGGACTACAGGCATGCGCCACCATGCCCGGCTAATTTTTTCTATATATATATTAGTTGGCCAATTAATTTCTTTCTATTTAGAGACGGGGTCTCACTCCTTCTCAGGCTGGTTTTGAACTCCTGACCTCAGGCAATCCTCCCGCCTTGGCCTCCCAGAGTGCTAGGATTACAGGCGTGAAGCTGCAATTGGTAAGGAAGAGTAGTCATTCAGACTAGCCAGGATGGGGTGTTTGGTTATTTTTGAGGTTTGGGCAATGTTCATGCTTTTGTCTATGTTCACATGATTATGGAGTAGTCTTGTTTTTGTCTCAACTCACCATGGTGACAGAGTGGCCTTGCACGATGCCGATGTCCTGTGAATTTATGTTCAACAGAACACCCAGACCTAGCTGTGAGTGCTAGGCCAGTTGGTAGCCACACCAAGGCCTTCCAACAGTACCAGGCCAGCTTCAAGATATCAGGAGCTGCTTTTCTTTCTCCAAATGTTCATTTTGAGATGATCCCTGGTTTCCAACAAGGGTTTGGCAGTTCAGTATCTAAATATTTAGACCCTCCCTGTACTCTGACCTAGTCACACCCATCTGTAGAACCAGCCAGGCAGGAGAACGTCATCACTGGCTTGGGCTGTGTGTATCTGTGTGTGGTTTTGTGTACGTGTGTCTGTGCCCGCCAGAAATTCCCTGATAAGATGGGAAAGAGGCCAGAGGCAGTCCTACTTCACCTCTGGGCCCAGCAGGACTTCCCCTCTGCCCAGAAAGCAAGGCACTGGGATTGAGTCCCAACGATCTCCAAGGCAGCAGGGGTGCCCAGCTTTAGGTGGAGTCAGGGAAGGACGTACAGACGGGATATCGCAGCAGCCAAGCCAAACTTGAGAGGAGCGGGAAAGGGAAGGGGTAGTGGTGGAAGGGAGGGGAGAGTTCCTTTGTATAAATGGGTCTCTTGAGAAGCTGCTGATTTTCCTTCAAGGAAGCAGCCTGCAGTAGGTCACTGTGGATCCCCACCCCCATCCCTTTCTGTTTTAAGCCTCTTGTCTCCAAAACAGGCCCTGTTGATTAGAACAAAAAAAATCATAAATGTTGACCTCATCCTTTACTGAGGCTTCATCTAACCCCTTTCCAATAAAATTTTCTTCCCTCAGTTCCATTTCTCCAGCCTTAAAATACTGGGACATCTCCTGTTGTGCCTTATAGGTAGCCAGGCAAAGTCTAGGACCATCACTAAGTGGTGCCAAGGACCATCTGATATCATTTGTAAAATGGCAAAGGAGAGCAGGGCTGACTCAAGTGGGTGGGCTCCAGACACTTGCTACTTTGGCAAAGCCTGACTCTTCTGCCCAGGGCCTGACCAGCCCCGCACTGCACTGTGGTGTGGCCCAGCTAATCACAGACCAGCCACCAAGGGCCAAACCTCAACTGGCACTGCTCGTCTGTGGAGTTAGAAATCAGATCCTGTGATCCCTGGGAGCTTGGGCAGATTAAACGCATCCTGGGTTAGGTGGCAAGTTGTGGCAGTGGGTGATGAGGGTCTGAACGTCCTCTCATAAATAACTTGAATTACGGAGATCAGAGGCTACAAGACAGAGGCTCATTTTTACAGTCAGCCCTGTTACCAGGCGTCATTCAACCAATCAACCAATGGATTGTTCAGCACTTCATCAGGGTTTTTTTGGGGGGTGTGGCATGTAGTTCCTATGCTGAGGACAAAAACACAGTCTCTGTGCTGGGATAGCTTAAATCCTTTTTAAATGACTTAAAGAACAATTATATTCAGAAATAGTAAGTTCAACTGGAGTTCAGAGATGAGAATTTATGCATGGGCACTAGTCTTACTGGTACCACACCACCACTTGATCTGGGCCTTGAAAGATGAAGCAGGATTTGGATAGGTAAAAGGGAAGAGGGATGGTGTTCCAGATGTGAAGAGCATGAACACAAGTTTAAAGGTGACAATAAACCAGATGTGTGTGCATTAAAAGTCACAGGAAAGGGGACTGGATAGGCAGAGTGGGCTGTGATCATAGACTGCTGTGGAAGACTTTGGACTTAATGTGGTTGGTGACAGGGAGTCACTGTACATTCTTAGGGAGGGAACATTGACCAAGTGGTGCTTTGGGCAGTGACCTAGCAGCAATAGTGTTAAATGGCTGCTCTCGTTTATCTCCCTATTCTTGGCATGTCCACAGTACTTTGTGTGTCCTTCTATGGACATAGCTCACTGTATTATACTTCTGCACCCATGTGTCTGCATTCCTCACTGACACCAGGAGGTCCTTAAAAGCAGTAGCCATGTTTTATCCATCTTCCTATTCTGGCATCTACCTGGGTCACAGTAGGTACTCAACGAATGTTGATTACACAAACAGATCATTTAATTTTAATTAACTGAATTATACTCACATACCATACAAGGATAATCACTATCAAAGAGCTAGACTAAATTGCACATAACACTAAAACAAGACAAATCACAATTTGGTCTTTTTGTGAAACATTTTAGGATCACAGAATATGCTACCTCCATCTTTGTAAGCACCAATTATTGCTGTCTAATAACTTCTATCTCACAGGATACTAGAGTTTTCTACATATGGATTCTTTTTATGCCCTGGATACACTAAGAGGATCTACATATGGATTTGGATATGTCATGCAGAAGATCGTATTCCACTAAACCTATATCTGTATAGTAAGAACCTGTTCTGGTACCTCTAATTCTTATAGTGGAGATTTGCCCTGTTCTCCTAGTGTTCACAAGGGATTTGGTTGAAGCTGTAACTACCTTTAACCAAGCCCAATATTAAAAAAAAAAATCCAGACTGGTAATAATTTTCTCTTTATAAACAGAAAGATTCATAATAGGACTTTTGAAAGTAGTAAAAATTTCCTCTTAACTGAAATAAGATTTGATTTTTTTAAAGTAATTTAAAATGCCAAAAATGAGTTGACTTACGAAATCCTCAGTTGTGTTCCTAGGAAATCATCTGTAAAGGGAGGCATGCCTATAAGCATATTTTAGAGACAAGGAGTTAAGAGAGGGCAGATTTATAGTATGGGGGACAGCAGGCAGAGGAAACAAAAGATCATGATCACTCAAGGAAATGGCTCCAGATTTAGCTGCAAAGCATCCTGTCTCTGAACTCCTCTATTTGCAGTTAACATCATTCTGTCCTCTGCAGAATTCAGTTCCGGGACAGGGGTTGTTCCAGATAAAACTGAGTCTATCCTGTATGTTTGTTAACTCATTCAGCCGTGATTAAGCACCAACTATGAGCCAGACCCAGTGCTAAGCTCTGGAGATATAACCATGAGCTAGACCTCTATGCCATGATTCCTGCCTCCAGGAAGCCATGGGCTAGCAGGGAGACATAGAAACAAGGATCAGGCTTGGAAGGGTCAAGAAAGTCTCCATAAAGATAGTGACCTTCCCACGAGGAGAGGAGATGAGTCCAGCATTGTGGGCAAAGGTCACAGCAGGTACATTCAGAGAGGTCTGGACGGGTGAGAAGAGTTCACTCCTTGGGAAATGAGTTTAGAATGTGGAGTAGGGAATACATGGCTGAGAAAAATTATGCTCTTGGTAGCTGTTACAATTTGCTTGCTCTCTAATATGCATAGCTTTTCTCCTTCGCCCATCCGCCCCCTTTGAAAGAGAACAGAATTTAATTTAGAAGAATCAGATTTTATTTCGTGATGTGAACATTAAGAATTTGCCCACATGGTTGAAAATATTCGCAAAGGATTTGCTCGATCATTTACACTCATTCGCACAGTTTGCCGAATAAAAAATGCTTCTTTACCCATCTAGCCAGCTATCAGGGATGGTGACGTGCTTGCCTATTCCACGGTGGGGCTTCAGTCTTCATGAATGTTGAATAGTTTGGCTACTTCATTGAGATCTTCATGTTGCTCACCGTCCTTAATGATCTGAGAGAGAGAGTAACAATAGGCCCCTAACTCACTCCATGTGCCCTCAGGCCAGGTCCGCACAATGGGGCTGCCAGGGTCAATCTCTGCATCATACTGGGAGGGAGATGTGGGAACAGCTTTCTACTAACCCAAAATGAGTAGCCTGCCAACTCCCAGGCCACCCAGCCAAGTCCTAAGTGAAAAAGAATGTTCCTGAGCCAAGGCTATACCTTTGTTCTGCTCAGGCACAATTTGACCTGGGTGGAGAATGCATCTCAGGGCACCTGATGAAGTCACAGGAACATTTTCTGACCCACACTTTCCATCTCCCCCTAAGAGTTCTGACAAGTACCTACCTTCCTTGCTATTGGCATTCTGTTAAAGATGTTCCATAGCACGATCCCCACGACCACTTTGTCCCTGAGGTAGAAGATGACACCTTTGCCGTAGTCCTCCCCTTGGACAGGGGCCTGTGGAATTGCAGGAGTACTGGCAGGAATAGCAATTTCTGAGGCCTCGGATTCTGTCTCACTCTCTGATCGGATACCAGTCCCTGTGGCCAGCCCCCAAAACAAACAAACAAACATACAAAATCAAAACTTCAATTATGAGTTTAGGAAATTCTAGAAGGCAAGTGTCTTTCAAGACCTGCTTCAAGCTCCTTCTAGATGATTTGTTTTTCTATGCCCCCTTAGTAAGCCCTGGCTCTCTCCAGCCCCTCTGCACTGACAAAACCAAGGAAAAGTTCTTCCTTACCAGCTTCTGGCATTGGATGGGTCTGACCCCAAACTTCCCTCCCTTACTATCTCATTTGAATTTATGCTATGGATATTTCCTGGTATCTGAATTTCTTCAAACTGCAGAAGACTTGATCTTATCCTCTGAGAAACATTCTAGAGCTGCATGGTCCAGTACAGTAGCCACTAGCTACATAGAGCTGTTTAAATTAACATTATTTCAAATTAAGTAAAATGTAAAATTCAGTTCCTCATTTGTACTCACCACATTTCAAGCGTTCAATAGCTACATGTGGCTAGTGGTTAATGTACTGGACAGACTAGAGAGAGAACATTTCCATCACAGCAGAAAGTTCTATTGGACAGTGCTCCTAGAGAGACACTAGTCAAAGCAGAAGGCACTTCCACATGGAAAACCCATAGTGGAGGTGTTTCCTCCTAGAGAAGGAAGAACAGGGGAAAGGCAGCATGGAAAGGGTGCACTTTGTCTTCTACAAGCAGCCTTCAAGTAATACTACTGCCCAGTGGACAGAGCAGTGTCTTGAATCCACTTACCACGAGAGATCAGAATTAAGGAGTATGGAATATGCCCAAATTATACAGAGAAAGGACCCTCATATCCATATAATGTCTTGCTTTCTCCTTCTTAAAGAGCAACTTGCCCTTGAAACAAACACCTCTGGCAAAAGGACACAGAGGTTAAATAACTTGAGCCAAGGTCACAGGATAAGGCTTAGGAGTTAATGAAAGAGACGTGTGTGGGAGAGAAGCCCATTCCAAGAGAGATGCCTCCCATCTAAAGAAAACCTGGCATTAAGATCTGACGAATGGAATTAGAGGCAGCTGAAGAAATACTCAGCCTAGTTCTCCACTGCCCAGGGCCCATGGAGGATAGCAGGTCTTGTTAAGATTCTCAGGTCTGGTTCTTGAGATTAGCATGAAGCAAAAGCAAACAAAAAACGAAGAAAGAAAAAAAACAAAACCCAAACCTAAAAAGTTCCAGTTTCTTGTTTTCTTCATCACATTGACCTCCCTATCCACTAGAGATGAGCTAAACAACAGAGTTGTTGAGCCAGCCACTATCCACTGTCTAGGATGGATACCCACAATATTTGAGTCTATGCTTTGACCAGGATACCTGAATTTTTGCCAGATCTCAGACCACTAAAGAGGGAGGACTTGGGGTTTGGTTTCTTTTAAAGTACAACATGAAGAGAGGCTTTCACTGACAGCTCCCTCTGGTTAGTACAGAAACCCCTTGTTCAGGAGAATCTGGACCATTGCTTCTCAATACTCTTCCAAGAGAAGTGGTTGGGTTTCCCTACCTGACTGTTCCGTGGCAGATTTTGGGTTGTCTTGTGCAGTTGCTTTTGCAAAAACACCAACTGTGGGCAAACTACTGTCCACAAGACCAATAGCTTCATAGCCAACATCAGGACCCAAATCACTCCTAAGGAAGAAAAAAGAAGAGAGTGTTCTCTCAAGGGACAGTAAGGAATGACATGGTAGCACATACTCTCGATGACACTGCACTCTCATGCCAACCAAAGAACTTAGTAAGTGTAACAAGAGGAATGCCAAACTAATCTGTCACTGCTAGAGCATCTGGGGACAATTATGAGAAAGCAGGATTAACCCAAACAGCTGTTATTTGTCGTGAAGAAGCTATTCTCCATAGCCCATATCCATACAAGGATCTAAACTTTCTTAAATTTATTCATGCTTTTATCCCATGCCACATTTGGGAAATGACAGGTTTCCCACTTTTGCTATTCACTATCTTCCTTTAACTCATCTTAAAGCTGCCTTTTTGAAGCTTTAAAGAGTGTTCCATACTTAGGAATTCAGAATTTGAGATGTTTTACTGTTTCACAGATCTACAGTATTTCCCCTTGGCCTTCGTTTCTTTTTTTTTTTTTTTTAAAAAAAACAGGCTTAATTTTACTTAATTTTTCTCATATAAAAATGCTACATTGTAGCCACGGCTGGAGCCTGGTCCTCTGCACAGAGACTCTGGTGTGGGTCTTGACAAGATGGTCGGTGAATTCCTGGTATGTAGACTTGGTGAATACTGTCTCTTTCCAGAGGTCAGGAGTCAGATAGCTATAGGTCTTGGAGATGGCATCAAAGGTGGCCTTTGCGAAGTTGCCCAGGGTGGCAGTGCAGCCTCTGGCTGAGGTATAGCAGTCATTAATACCAGCCATCAGCAGCAGCTTCTTGGGCACAGGGGCTGAGAGGATGCCAGTTCCTCTAGGGGCAGGGATGAGACGCACCAGCAAAGAGCCGCAGCGGCCTGTCACCTTGCAAGGAACAGTGTGGGGCTTGCCCATCTTGTTCCACCAGTAGTCTCTCCTCACGGAGACAACGGAGAGCTTGGCCAAAATGATGGCCCCTCAGATGGCAGTAGCTACCTCCTTGGAGCACTTAACACCTAGACCAACGTGACCACTGTAGACCCCGATGGCAACAAACACCTTGAACTTGGTCCGCTGGCCAGCGCAGGTCTGCTTTTGCACTTGCATAATCTTCAAAACCTCATCTTTGAGAGATAGCCCCAGGAAAAAGTCAATGATCAATCTCCTCCAGGGATTTGATCTTCATGTCCTTAACTAGGCAGCCCATCTTGGTGACAGGCATCCACTCCTTGTCCTCGGCCTTGCCTCTGAGAGCTCCGCGGCCTTGGCTCTGGCCCTGCTCACGGCTGTGACCTTGGCCACGAATGCCGCTGCTGACTCCATGGAAGCCACCACGGCCTCCCATTCCAGGGCCCCTGGGGCCTCCATGCCCTCCCGCTGCACGGGCATCATCCGCCATTTGGCGTTTTCTCAGAAAAGAACCTTCATTTATTTTTTATTTATTTATTTATTTTTTTGAGACAGAGTCTCATTCTGTTGCCCAGGCTAGAGTGAGTGCCATGGAATCAGCCTAGCTCACAGCAACCTCAAACTCCTGGGCTCAAGCAATCCTTCTGCCTCAGCCTCCGAGTAGCTGGGACTACAGGCATGCGCCATCATGCCCCGCTAATTTTTTCTATATATTTTTAGTTGTCCAATTAATTTCTTTCTATTTATAGTAGAGACGGGGTCTCGCTCTTGCTCAGGCTGGTTTCGAACTCCTAACCTTGAGCGATCCACCCGCCTCAGCCTCCCAGAGTGCTAGGATTACAGGCGTGAGCCACCGCGCCCGGCTATTGCACCTTTCTTAATATGCTAAGACCTTCACAGAACATTTGAGGCACAGACACATTATTACCAAGTTTTTTTGTAATAACCTAGGCTACCGTAGCTGTTTTGTTTTTGGCACTCTACATTTTTTTATCTTTTTGGCTGCAGTAGCTCACTGGACTGGTGCCTTCAGGGAATAGTCTGCAACAACTCCTTGGAATCAGTTCTAGGCTCACACTGATAATTGTACAATTATGGACTATTTTTTTCCTAACCTGCACCATCTTACACATGTTGACCCTGAGATCCATCAGTTAGTTAGGTATGTATTATGTATGTATGTATTCATTCATTCATTTTAGAGATAGAGTCTTGCTATGTCACCCAGGCTGGAGTGCAGTGGTGTCATCATAGCTCACTGCAACCTTGACTCCTGGGCTCAAGCCATCCTCTTGCCTCAACCTCCCGAGTAGCTGGGACTACAGGTACATACCACCATACCCAGCTAATTTTTAAAAATTTTTTGTAGCGATGGGTTTCACTATGTTAGCTGGTCTCGAACTCCTGGCCTCAAGCAGTCCTCCTACCTCAGCTTTCCAAAGTGCTTGGATTATAGGTGTGAAACACTGCGCCCTACCCTTTGTCATTTTTTGCAGCCCACTCATAAAACTGTGTGCGACTGTCTTAAAATGTAATTCCATCAGGTGAGAATATCTCCAACAGAAACTACTTAGAGGCTTCTGAAACCCTGAAGTTTTTATGTACTCCATCTTTCAAATCACAAGATGAATGTGTGTCAAATAGGGCCAGCCTTGCCACTCTGGAATGGCCACTGCTAACCTTCCTTTACCCAAAGAACTGCCTATGTATGCCTGACTTACATTGCTGATTGTAAGGGTTACATATGAATAGGCTGCCTTTTTTCCAGCATGTTGGGTTTATTAGGGTTACTAGCAGAGAACAAATTAAAATATACTGCCCTGTCTACACCTAAGATTATACTTTTGTACCACCTACTATATAGCTCAAACTCTATCTTGCCAGCAGTGCTGGTGCCATATCTATTCATTTACCTGGTCTAACTTATGTCAAACAGAACACTTTTATTTTATATGAGACAGGGTTTTGCTCTGTTGCCAAGACTAGAATACAGTGGCACAATCGTAACTCATTGTAACTTCAAATTCCTGGCCTTAAGCCATCCTCCTGCCTCAGCTTCCCAAGTAGTTGGGACTATAAGTGTGCACCACCATGCCTAGCTAATTTTTAAATTTTTTTGTAGAGACAGAGTCTCGCTATGTTACCCAGGCTTGTCCTGAACTCCTGGCCTCAACTGATCCTCCTATTTTGGCTTCCCAAAGTGCTGGGATTACAGGCATGAGCCACCATGCCTGGCCCCAAACAGAACATTTTTACCAGATGCCTACCTGGGGGTAGGATGTGTGAGCATAAGATGGAATTATTCCCCCTCTGTATGAAGCTACCTGGTCCACAACACAACCAAACCATAACTCTGTGCTATGGTCCTACTGATACTGCATTCTAGCCTACTGAGTCCCCACCGCACACCACTATTACCAGAACATTGACTGATGCCAGTATGGCTTAGCAGCTCCGGTCATATTTTCTCCAGCCAATCTTCCACTCACAACAGCATGATCGTGGTGCTCTACCCGCCTCCTCCCCAGCTTTATGTCGTAGAAGCATGCAGCATCTCCTGCCTTTGGAAACAAATACAAAACATGAATACATGATAAAAAAGCAAGTTAAAGACAAAATACAAACTTTTGGGGCTCAAAGAACCCTTGCAATGGTTAACTAATGTTTTTCATCTACAGGCCAGAATCATACCTAAACTATCAAAAACAGTTGAGATTCCTTTTTTTTTTTTGAGACAGAGTCTTGCTTTGTTGCCCAGGCTAGAGTGAGTGCCATGGCATCAGCCTAGCTCACAGCAACCTGAAACTCCTGGGCTCAAGCAATCCTACTGCCTCAGCCTCCCAAGTAGCTGGGACTACAGGCATGCGCCACAACGTTTGGCTAATTTTTTTCTATATATATTAGTTGGCCAATTAATTTCTTTCTATGTTTAGTAGAGACGAGGTCTCGCTCTTGCTCAGGCTGGTTTCGAACTCCTGATCTCGAGCAATCTGCCTGCCTCGGCCTCCCAGAGTGCTAGGATTACAGGCGTGAGCCATCACACCCAGCTGAGATTCCTTTTTTTTTTTTTTTATTTTTTTTTATTTTTTATTTTATTTTTTTTTTGCAGCCCGCTGTTTCTGAAAGAGTCTCACTTTGATGCTCAGGCTAGGCTCAAGTGATCCTGCTGCCTCAGCCTCCCAAGTAGCTGGGACTACAGGCATGCGCCACCATGCCTGGCTAATTTTTTCTATATATATTAGTTGACCAATTAATTTCTATTTATAGCAGAGACGGGGTCTTGCTCTTGCTCAGGCTGCTCTCGAACTCCTAACCTTGAGCAATCCACCTGCCTCAGCCTCCCAGAGTGCTAGGATTACAGGCCATGAGCCATGAGATTCCATTTTTTAAATAACTATTCTGCTTCCACAAAGCTAACCTAACTCATCTATGCTTCAGTTTACTTATACCTATTTCTTCTCATTCTGTCCTTAGCAGATAGGATATTTAATAACCACGACTTGCAGAATACTCTTTTCTATATGTGAAAATCGGTTTTTAGACATGACCGCTTCTCACTTAGAAATCTTTCCCAAGATAAGATTTCTTTCTGTCATTTAGTGTTCATTCATTTAACAAATATTTATACAGTACTTATTATATACAAAAGCATTATGCTGTTTAGGCAGCTGAGACAAAACTGACATGGACCTTGCCTATAAGGAGTATATGACCTAGTATAGGAAGATGCAGCATTCTTCTAACTACAGTGCAATGTAAACAAGTAATGAGCCACATGAGAGGTACAGATTAAATGAGCTAAGTGTTTCAGGCAGAGGGAGAGAACCCCCAGCTGGGGGTGGACAGGGCCAGCTTCATGAAGGATGTGGTATTTGAGCTCTCTAACCCTTTGTTCATCTTTGTGGCTATTCAGACTGCCCCCTCAAAGCAACCTAAAAATCCAACAAGTAAGCAATGACAAAATAAACTATGAAATCCACTTAATGGAATACTATATAGTCATTAGACTGTTTACAGAGTCTGAAGCAACATGGAAAATGCTTACATTTATGATGTTAAGTTAAAAAAAGCAGAATACAAATGTTTATATATAGTATCCTTGCCATGACTGCATAAAAACAAACAAAAAAACCTAATGTGCAAGAAAACAAAGGGAAGGAAATACACCAAAAATATTAATGGTTTGCTGCAGATGATTTTCCTCCTTTCTCCTTGCCTATATCTTCTATATTGAGCACATACTACTTTTGTAACAGGTTAAAAATTATAGTACATGTTATCTTAAAAAAAAGGAAGCTTTGCAGGGGGAGGGAATCCCTCCAAGACTCCTGTGCCCTTAGTTGCAGAGACCATAATCAAACACAATACACTTGTAACTAGCAATGGGGAAATTACCTCATGGTTCCTACACACTATATGTCATAATAGATTTTTAAAAACAGCTAAAAATAGTACTCGAGGAAAATGAAAACAGAGTAATTTTCTTTTGTGGGGAACATGTTATAAAACTGCTTCATCATCCATGCCCTGGACTCATGCTTGAGCAAAGAGAACAGCAGATCCATCTGAAGGCTGTGCACGTGCCCACCAGGGGTTGTGCCAATGGCTGGCTGTTGCCAACAAGTAGAACTGGAAGAGCTTTACTCCTGCAGGCATGCACACTGTTCATTTCATTTTCCACAGCTTATAGATGAGGCCATACATGCTCTAAACCAAGCAGTTCACAAGTTTCTATTCTCTACCCCCTCAGCCTCCAAACACTTTGACCCTATTTGGTTAAACTGTCAATGAGCTTTAGCACACCACTGAGCAGGTTTGTTCACAAGCTGGGGACAATGAATCGTGCCCAGTCATGCTATAGCACACTTACCACCCAGATGTTAGAGCGTGCTTGTAGCTCTGCATTTACCCGGAAGCCACCAAAATCTGAGTCTATTTCCAGCCCACCAGTCTTGGCCAACTCAACATTGGGTTCCAGGCCCACAGCTGCCACGATGTGGTCAGTTTCTACCTAAGGCAAAAAGAAATAATCCAGCCAATTACCATAGTTCCACTATACCTAAGGATAGAACAAGTGGCCATCATACCATTAAGAATTGGGGCTTTAAAAAATCATGGTTTAACTTACCTCTGGTAAATAAATTTTAAGTTCTTTTTCATAAGCCTCCTTGACCCCTTCCCATACACACACCCCATATCATCTGACTAGGAATCTGTCACCCTAGCAAAGACTCCAAAATCTGTGATCCAGATAGGAAGGGGCTAAGGAAAAGTGGTTCACAGGTACGTACTCTGGCTCTCATTAGTCTATTTTAATGAAAGGACGGTTAATTCAGAAAAATTATGACAGGTTAATGGTGGCTGCCAAGAAAACTAATCTACTGGTGTAGAATGAAGGAGTAAGAATGAGGAAAGGGGAGGGGAGAGCTGGAAAGTCTCCTGGCAGCCTGCCTTTCTCCTCCTTACCTTCCTGCCGTCTTTTAGCTTGATGAGTAACTTGCCACCGCTGACTCCAACTGATTGCACAATGGCATCGGGCATCACCTTAACCCCCTCTGTAAAGGCAAACAAGATCTGAGGCTGAGCCTATGAGTCAATTACCTTCATGGGAAGTAGAGAAACTGACTAGAGGTCCCCCCACTGTAAAACCAATAGTCATCAGTATGCAAGCAGCTGTCAAGAGCTGCAAGAACCTACACCCACAGTTCATTTTCAGCACTTTTAGAAGTTTGGTGCATCAGATTCAGAACACCCAGATGAATTTGGTTGATTGGAGAATGGTGGAAACATTTTATTTGCCAAGTGACAGGGCTAATGTCAAGGGGGTTCCCAGAGAAGCTAACTTTACCTAGGCCACACTCAAAGGAAACAGAGTGACCATATATGGAAAAAGTTTCTCTACCTCGTCTGACTTTTTCCATGGTCCAGTTGCTGAGGTATTCAGGGAGGATCTTTCCCATATTTCCTTTCTCAGGGAAGAGTTGAATCACTTCTGTGCCCAAGGCTTGAGCTGGGAAGAAGAAATTGGTAGTTACGGCAGGAAACCAAAGCCAATCCTAGGAAGATAGGAAGAGAAGTAAAGGAGCAGCAGGTAGCCCTTACTAAATGTAGGGCAGAGCCCAGTCTGGGTTGGAGCTCCTACTAGTGGGTTACTGTGGCATGAGGACCTTGGCGCTTGAGTTCATTCAGAAGGCAAATAAAACAGGTGCCACAACTGCTATCCCCAGATTAAGCTACAGACCATGAACTCAGTGCACTTCCACTCATGTAGTCACCTCACGCTTAGAAAAGGGCTTTGCAACTTCTGCATAGGAAGCACCCTCCTGAGAAGATGCCCTGATTTCACATAGCTGAAGAATAACATTAAGAAAACTGGTTGCCACAAAACATTCGTATTAGAACTCACAGATCTGTCAGGCTGGGAACCACCATGTGCCTGAAGGAAGTTTTTGGCTTTTTACAGGAAGCAGCAGTTCAAAGATACACACAGTTATGTAGCCTGCACTGCCCTTATAATCTTAATAACTCACTTTCCTTAATATTTTATTTCTAAGGAGTCCTGGCATAGAGGCTAGAGGAAAAGAAAGAAAGGCATTGCTGTTAAGTTGCTCAGAGACAGCTTTTCGGTCACCAAGGGATCCCTCACCAGAACTAATCTCAGTGCTTAGCTTTTCACTATATAAACCTTAATCAAACTCTTTCTACTGCTCCTGGCAAATAAAACTCTGGAATTCGTGAGAGTGCACTGAAAGACATGTGATATAAGACCAGAGAAAGAAAATTAAGGTCACTCCCCAATACTCACCTTTTCTGCCAAGAGCACAGGCCAGTTCGCTACCAAGGAAGCCCCCACCAATAATCGTAATTGACTTGACTTCCCGTGAAATCTTCTCTAAGGCTCTAAAGTCTCCAATCTGCAGGATCACACCAGTTTAGTCCATTAATTTCCCAAAGGGGCACAGGATAATAATAGCAGGAAATATTCTCCTCTAAATCTTTGACAACAGTAATTTGCACAGAACATCTTTTCCTTGTAGAAAATGGCTCAATTATAGCCTCTTATGTTGTTAATGCAGATTTCTTTCTTCACAATAACATTCATTCTATCAACAGTGGCTCGCAACTGGTGGGAGTTTTGCCCCCTCTTCCCCAGAAGGACATTGGGCAATATCTGGACACATTTCTGGTTTTCAGGGCAGGGAGGTGGCATCTAGTGGGTACAGGCCAGGGATACCACTAACATCCTACAATGCACTGGACAGCCCCCACAACAATTATCTGGTCCCCAATGTCAAGAGTGCTGAGGTTGATACACCTTGTTCTATTAAAAACTTAAAGGATAGTATGAATCTTATCAAATATCCTAAGAGTGGCTAGAAAATTACAGCAGTTTTTATAAGCAAAGCACAGTGTTAAGAAGCAAAATACCCCTCTTCCTTTTTACCTAGGTACTCTTAAATTTTCTCCCCAAAGTCTCCACACAGCACTTGCAATGAAAAATGCCAAGAGGCTATAAGGGGTTCCAATGAATCAAATGCATCAGGAAAAAACAACTATGGAAGGGCAATCAAAAGGAATTACAGCAAGCAATAAAAACACTACATGTATTTTTCTCCTAGGAGCTTAAAACCCTTGAGTGAGGTATTTGAGGTGCAGGGAGAGGAAGTGAAGGCCAGATCTCAAGGCCAGATAACGAGTCTGAAGAAGAGCCATAAATAGAACTTGGATCTCCCAATTCCCAGGTGGGTACTTGGGGACCACAAGATTATACTATCTCTTCAAGAACAAGACAAAGAAAACACTAAAGCAGACAATTACCTTTCTGAAAAGTGTTGTTCTGCTCTTCACCTCTGCTCCAGCCCTATCAATGGCAGACAGACTTCTTGGAGTGCCTCCTAGAAATAAGAGGAAAACCTTTTAGCCCAACAAGCAGGAGCTGGTCCAAACATCCCCCTAAAGGTGGAGCTCTCTTCACTCAGGCTGCGGAGTGTGTGTGCTCCCTGCTGGCGCCACAGCAGCAACAACAGGATACATGGCTTTGTTTTCCTTCTACCTCACCTCACAGCAGGCTTTTTTTTTTAAATCAATTTCCTTTGAGAAGCAAGATTTGAGAGTCTCTCCTTGAGAGGCCCACTCTCCCCCTAGCTGGCCAATAGGCCTCACTTTTGGCTTCCATGTTCTCTTCTAGTTTCTCATGAGGATTCACCAGTTAGCATAGTTACATGGGTTTAATCAACTGCTTCAGTCTCCTCTCTTGATTTCTGACTGGAACTGGCAATGAAGCCATGAGGCTGTATCACTTTCAGGGCACAGGGCATAGGATGAAGGCTAAGTAGGGAGACAAAAAAGGGCAACTTCTTCAAGCCTTTACTGGGAGGAACAGCAAGGATAATCCAGAAGGGCTGGTAATCCAGGATGCCCAGACTTAGCCAGGTTTTGCACTGAGAGGAGACACCCACTTTGGAGAGTCTGGGTTTCAGTTTTCTTTAAGATGAAGTAGTAATGCCTTCTACAGAGAAGGCTGGACTCTAAAACTTGAATGAGCCATATCAGGGAAGAAAGCCATCTCCAGAAATGCTCACCTGTTGCAATCAAGCACTTTTCATAGGTTATTTGAGAGCCATCATTAAGTTTCACCATGTTGTCTCTCACATCCAGCTGTACTACCTGGTACAGTCACACATATACACAAAAGAGGTAGAGATGAATTAGCTTTGAAAAAAATCTTTATTGAGATGTAATCCATATAACATAAAAATTCACTATTTTAAAGTGTACAATTCAGTGGTTTTTAGTATATTCACAAGGTTGTGCAACCATCACTACTAATTCCAGAGAATTTCCAGCACACCCCCACCCCCCAAAAAACTCCAGACCTATTTTCTTAACTGTCAGCCCAATGAGAAGAATTAGTTCTTGACCTATAGTCATCCTTAAGAAACCATTTCCAAGCAATCATCAGAACCACAGTTTCTGGTCCCCAGTTTCTTCAAGCAGTCATAAGTTTCTAAGTAGACAATATTAGAGCAAGTCACAACAGTCCCAAAATTCCTGCTGATTTGTAGAAATGGAGAACAGAAAAAGCCTTTTTTATTTGGCTGTTTGGAATGCTTATTAGTTTGTTAACAAGTTTCCTACATCCACAACATTTTTACAGAATGCTTTTTCCAACTTCTTTTTCTTCTTCTTTTTTTAAGAGATAAGGTCTCACTATGTTGCCCAGGCTGGCCTAAAGTGATCCTCCCGCCTCAGCTTCCCGAGTAGCTGGGACTACAGAAGTGTGCCACTGCACCTGGCTTGCTTCTCCAACTTCTAACCTTCACTGAAACTTGGTTCTTTTTTTTCATTATTATTTAGAAAGGGTTTTACTGATATCTGTAATTCAACAGTGGCATTTATTTATTTTTTTTATGAAATTTGGTTCTTTCCCAAGGATAGCTTACATGTAGTGACTGTTCATTTACCCACAGTCCACATCACAAGGCCAGGAGGAGGTGTGGGTATTCTGCAGGCTTCCTGAGATTGCTGTTGCTGCTTCCAGATTCTTGTAGCTTTATTCTCCTCTGGTGGACACCAACCTAGATTCCTACAAATCACTGTTTTGAGCCACCTCTGACCCCTCTTCATTCACTGAAGACCTTGGAACCTGGTTCATACTTTTCATCTGAGCCACATCCAGAATTTTGTTATCTCCTAAACCACTCTTTCTACCTCAAATCTCCCTCTCTTTGGTCACAATTTTCCATCCTTTCAGCTTTATCTCAGTCTCGCTGTTTCCTATACTTGCTTTCAATTTCCTCTGTTTACCTGGTTAGCTGTTCCATTCTAACCAATCTGAGCTAATGCTAGATCTTCCAAACCATTCTCTTGCCAGCACCTTTAATTCCCTTATACTCCATCTTATAGTCAAGAGCTTGAGCTTTGGAGTCAGAGAGACAAGGGTTTCAGTCTCTGCTCCACTCCGTACTATCTATGGGACCATTCATTCAAGAAATATTTATTAAGCACCTACTATGTGTCAACCACTGTGCTAAATGCTAGGGACACAATAGTGAGAAAAACAGATATCCTCCCTGCCTTCAGAGCTTAGTAGCCAAGCCCACTTAACAAGCACTAACAATGATCAAGAACATTGAATGTGATAGGAGTGCTTCAGTGCAGTAGCACTACGAACATGACAGGTGCACCCAATCTAGTCAGGTTGGGTTGGGTAAAACTTTCCAGAGGCAATGACAGAAACTGAGGAATAGTTCCTTCAGCCCCCTTTGATGTGTCCTTGGTAAGCTCCCTTTTCAATCCAATCCTGCTACTCAACCTCCACATTGTTCACTCTCAGAATACCACCTTACATCTCAAGAGTGAGACCCCATCTCTACTATAAATAGAAAGAAATTAATTGGCCAACTAATATATAAATGAAAAATTAGCAGGGCATGATGGTGCATGCCTGTAGTCCCAGCTACTCGGGAGGCTGAGGCAGGAGGATTGCTTGAGCCCAGGAGTTTGAGGTTGCTGTGAGCTAGGCTGACGCCACAGCACTCACTCTAGACTGGGCAACAAAGTGAGACCCTGTCTCAAAAAAATAAATAAATAAAAATAAAATTGAATTGCCTAAAACTCAACCCACTTCCCCTCCCTATAAAGCTCAAGCTTGTTCACATGACAAAGCCCTCCATGATCAAGCCCCTGCATAACTTGTTTCATCTACAGCTCTATCAGTACCTAGCTGCTTGTATTTCCTTGCACCAAACATGCTGTTTCGTATCCTTGCGCCTTTGCTTATGCTGTTCTTTTTTACTCAAATGCATCTTCATTCCATAAGACTTCCCATTCTATAAGACCTTCTCATCCAGGAAGCTTTCCCTGAAACCATCACTCTACTGGGCACTCTTCCCAGTGATTCCCACAACATACTATGCATATCTCTCTTACCACACATCTATGTGTTCATGTTTCTGCCTATACTGTTAGCCTATAAAGGTAGGGCCTATTATTTACACATAAGAGATACTTAACACAGAATGTCGTTACCAGCTTAGCCACAAACCTATATCCATCTTCTTTGCCTAATATTCCCTCAGAGGAGAAGTGGGCCTGTCCCTACCAAAGGTCAATCTCTCCACTTGTGCTCTGGATTCCATCTACTCTGGGCTTTGCTAACTTCAGAGAATTCCCTCTCTACTAGAACACTGCCATTAGTTTACAAACACACTCTAGTACCTCTCATTAACAAAAACAAAACACAACAAAAGCCTCCTAGGACCCCCAAAATGGCCTCCAATAACTGCCCCCATTACTCAGGCACTCACCTTTGTGAAGTCTAACAGTACCGTGTTTCCTTGAAAATAAGACCTATCAATAAAATAAGCCCTGGCAAGATTTCTAAGCATTTGCACAATATAAGCCCTATCTCGAAAATAAGTCCCAGTGATGGGCGTGGCTACTTAGCGTATCTGCACAAGCCATGCATTTCCTCGCGGAGCGGTAAAGACAATGAGCAGCCCTTCTCATCTGCCCCATGAGAGCTCTATTGCTGGACGTGAGAGATTAAGGCCAATGGTTCTAAAGGAAATAGAGTCGCAAGAAATTCAGGATGGAATTCGGGGTTTGGAGAGTTATGATGATATTCCAGAAGAAGATGACTTAACTATATTTGAATAAATGTAGATTGTTGTACTGTACTTAAAAAAATAACACATGCCCTGAAAATAAGCCATAGGGTGTCTTCTTGAGGAAAAATAAATATATGACCCTGTCTTATTTTTGGGGAAACACGGTATTTTCCATGCTCAGTTATGCCTGGATTATTTTACTGTCCTGAATAATATATATTTGTCAATCTCTTGTCATCAGTAATCCCAGAGAAAAGTTAGTGTGGAAAAATAGAAAGGAGGAGGAAGGGCAGGCACGGCACAGTGGCTCACACCTGTAATCTTAGCACTCTGGGAGGCCAAGGCGGGCGGATTGCTCAAGGTCAGGAGTTCAAAACCAGCCTGAGCAACAGCGAGATCCCGTCTCTACTATAAATAGAAATTAATTGGCCAACTAATATATATATACAAAAAATTAGCCGGGCATGGTGGCGCATGCCTGTAGTCCCAGCTACTTGGGAGGCTGAGGCAGCAGGATGGCTTGAGCCCAGGAGTTTGAGGTTGCTGTGAGCTAGGCTGATGCCATGGCACTCACTCTAGCCTGGGCAACAAAGTGAAACTCTGTCTCAAAAAAAAAAGAAAGGAGGAGGAAGGGCAGATGCACAAACAGGAGCAGTAACAGCATTTAGGGTCATGGTCCCCAGTGATTTGACTTCCCTGGGAAGTTTAGCTGGCATGCTACCCTAGGCTTTGATACTACTGCTTTCCCCAGAAAGACACATTCAGCAATATTAAACTTAAAGTGACTTGCTCCTTCTTTGATGAACTACAAATAGCAGGACAAACATAAATGGTAGTGTTAACACACGTCACCACACTTGCTGGTGGGCACATATGTAGAGCCTGACCAGGGAAGCAGCCTACTGGCTTACCTTCTTTCCAGTGAGGACAGCCACACCACCATTCTCAATGTGAGGTAGGTCCTGAGCAGAGACATAGAAAGAAGGTGGCTGGAAATATATGCTGTATGGAGAAGAAGGGGAAAGTGTTAGAAGCACCTGGAACTGCTATCAGCTTCCCTCATAGCTTAAATAAAACTGTTTCCATTATGAAAAACTTTTAGGAATATTTTCCAAAGTAAGTCTCCAAGGCTGCTAAATCTTGGTCATGACTTGCTTATATAGAGGTATTCCAGATCCGTGCTTCTCAAATGGGGGCAATTTCTTCCCCAGGGGACGTTTGGCAATGTCTGGAAACATTTTTGGCTGTAACAACTTGGGGAGGGATGCTACTGATATCTGGTGTGTAGAGGCCAGGGATGTGCTAAACATCCTATGATGCACAGCATGGCCACTTGGCCACAGCAAAGAATTATCTTGCTCCAAATATCAACAGTCCTGAGGATGAGAAACCCTGCTCTAGATTTAGGTTTATTTTAAAGTAAGAACATGAAGTATGCAAGGAGCTGGGTAGTCACATATCTACCAAAATGGGTTATCTAGAAAGGTGCTAGTCACTGGAACAACCAGCTAGCTCCTGAGAGGATTTTGCCTCAACCAGTTAATTAATTAACCATGATATATCAAATAGGGGTGGCTAGCTTAATTGGAAGTATGCATCCTGCTTGAAAATGGAACATGATAGTAGGGGTGAGGGAGGAGGGAAGGTTTGTAAAATTTAGTCTAGTATCAAAGGGACTGCTCATGAGAAAAAAATTGGAACTCAAAAAACATGGTACTAGAATCAAGATCTAAAGTGTTGTTTAGAAGAAAAGGCTTCTGGGCCGGGCGCTGTGGCTCACGCCTGTAATCCTAGCTCTTGGGAGGCCGAGGCGGGCGGATTGCTCAAGGTCAGGAGTTCCAAAACACCTGAGCAAGAGCGAGACCCCGTCTCTACTATAAATAGAAAGAAATTAATTGGCCAACTGATATATATATAAAAAATTAGCCGGGCATGGTGGCACATGGCTGTAGTCCCAGCTACCCGGGAGGCTGAGGCAGAAGGATCACTCGAGCCCAGGAGTTTGAGGTTGCTGTGAGCTAGGACGCCACGGCACTCACTCTAGCCTGGACAACAAAGTGAGACTCTGTCTCAAAAAAAAAAAAAAAAAAAAAAGAAGAAAAGGCTTCTGGACCTGTGTCTTCAAGTCCAGAGTGTAAGTGAAAACATTCTAATAAAGATGCTCTTCCTTACAGTTCCCACTCTATTCCCACAGTTTTGAATGCCTCCTAGGGTATCAAAGAGAGTGCCAATAAACCATTTCTTTTCTTTTGCTTTTAAGGGACATGCCCAGGCAAGCATAAAGAAGTGACAACAGGCCTGACATGGTAGCTCATGCCTATAATCCTAGCACTCTGGAAGGCCAAGGCAGGTGGATCGCTCAAGGTCAGGAGTTCGAAACCAGCCTGAGGAAGAGCAAGATCCCGTCTCTACTATAAACAGAAAGAAATTAATTGGCCAACTAATATATATAGAAAAAATTAGCCGGGCATGGTGGTGCATGCCTGTAGTCCCAGCTACTCGGGAGGCTGAGGCAGGATTGCTTGAGCCCAGGAGTTTGAGGTTGCTGTGAGCTAGGCTGATGCCACGGCACTCACTCTAGCCTGGGCAATAAAGCAAGACTCTGTCTCAAAAAAATAAAAAATAAAAATAAATAAATTAACACACCTTCTCTCTTTTCCATTCCACTGTCTGAATCGCAGTGTCTTTGTGACATTTGGATCATCTGAAAACCATAATTCTTTTGAAAGAGGAGGTCGCATGTATGGCAGCTCAGGATCTTCAGATATAATCAGTACCTTTGGACACAAAAATGATACATAGAGCCAAGTCATTTAAGAGGTAAATGTCTAAGTGTTCACACTGGCTATGTACTTGCCGACTATACCATCTGTGCCAAGGAAAAGAACGTGCACCTTACCCTGGCCCCAGGATCCCGAGCCCGGATGGATCTAGCTGCAGCAAAAGCAGCAGTGCCTCCACCGATTAGTAGGAAAGGAACATGACTTGGTACCCTGACTTGAGAAACTGGCTCTCCTTCTGCAGCTGTAAGCAATAGATCAGACAGGATGAATCTTCTTGAAGTCTCAGATGACTCCTTGCTACTATTTTAAAAAAATCACCTTACACTTGTCTCAATCCTTTATATAAAGTTAGCAAAACATAGTATCTAAACTAATCTTAACAAACTTCACAGCATCCTGGCTGGAGAGAAAAAGCAAGTATCCCTTTCATTTCACAAGTGAAAAATACAAAAACAATGGTGAAGGATGTCATGAGTCATTCACTCATTAGGTCTATACCAGAATTAGGACCTATCTTACATATTTAGTTATTTCTAAAATACATTAGAAAGTATATACTAGAAGGTCTCTGTCCTTCCTATCAATTTCCTAGTGACCACCAGGAAGATATCAAGTTCAGTTTCACCTTTTGTTAGCAACAAAGGGGGAAAACCCAGGAGGTTATTTGGGGATTATTATACAATGTTTGGGGAATAAGGAGGTGCTACTGAAGAAAGCAACACCAATCACCTGCCCAGAATTGTGGGGCTTATTAAAGGATTAAAACAGCCCTGTCTGAAAAAGCAAGCAAATTACATGGGATGGAAGTCATGGCTAGGGCCATGTGCTTTAGGAAAACAAACATATCTTCAACAACTTGAAACTCCAAAGAGTCAAAAGGAAAACAAAACAGACCAATAGAATTTCCTCATTGAAAAAATGGCTTGTCTCTTTTCCAATAGTTTTCCTCACCAAGGTTGCCTTTTAGGAGTCATATATATATATATTCATACATACATACACACACACATACACACATACCCCAAACATAATTGTTACTAATTTTGTTCCTAAACCCCAATTCCAGCCAAATACTTTAACAAATTGCTCCCAGTTCTGGGGTAATACCATACTTTTTGGAAACTTACAATCTTATACCATCATTACTTCCACAAGATACCCATAAATCATAGCAAGAAATAAGGGAATACTCACCAGATGATGCGGCCCTTTTCTGTTTCTCTTCTGGTGTCAGCCCTAACTCTGATATTCTTTCATTATATCTTTTTTTGTCATCTTTTATAGTCTTGTAGACCTGCAGACCCAAACACGGAGAAATAATATTTCACCATACAGCTAGCTCATACCATAAGTAATATTATCTTTCAATTAAATGAGAAGCTTTTGTCTACCTGTCATTAGTTCCTCCATATTAAAACCACTAAGGCAGTATATTTTCTTAAGAAATAAAATATACTGGGTGTGCACACACTTGGTGTGGAAAGAAAATGTACCAACAGATGAAAATGTTTCAGTTTCAGATTTTCTTACACTCTTTGTATTTATTTCTAAATGTATAGCTAAAGAAAAGAAATCCTACACTAGAAGAATAAAGTGCTAGAATAGGGTACACTTTATATTGAGTTGGGAAAGAGGTTCTGGACTATGCTGGACATTAGCTGTGAAATCCATCTATATGGTCCTGGGTAGGAAGCTGGAACATAAGTTTTCCTGGTAGATGTTTCTGGGTTTTGCTGGGTAATCAGAAAATGCTTGGAAACATGGCCACCTGTATCCTATTCTGATAGAGTAACTCATCTTTCCCTCAATAGTATATCCTTTCCCTAAATTCATGAAGCAGAAGGAATCTCATTCAGAAAAACTATATGCAGATATTTACTAAGGGTCAAACACCTATTGTATTTCAAGTATACTATCTTCTCAACCCTTTCAGATTAAATAAGGGTAATCTTAGCATCATGACTAGTTTGTTTTTTAACATACAGCACCAGAGTTTTATTAGAGACCTTTTCAAAAATGGTAGGTAAGAGTGCTCATTTCAGCAGCACATATACTACAATTGGAACTATACAGCGAAGATTAGCATGGCCCCTGCACAAGGATGACATGAAAATTCATGAAGTGTTCCTTATCTTAATTTATGTAACCAAAATGTTTGTGCCCCCGTAATACTCTGAAATAAAATTTTAAAAATGGTAGGTAAGTATGACTTTTTAAATTACAGCACTTTTATTCTTTTATACCCCATGGGTTTAACAAGACAGGAATTTATGTGACCTTATGTCAAATATAATCTCAGATTAATTAATTACAGGAGAGATTAAAGACAATCAGAAGAAGTATCATAAAACATAGTCTAAGAATATTTCTATGACCCCCTCACACAGCAGCCCATTAGGCAATGTGCTGCAATTGGGGAACCTGGACCCTGAGATCGGCTTTCATGTTTATCAGCCTAGAAGCATTTGACATATGAGAGGAATGAAGCAGAAAGTTAAGTGCTATATGTTAAAAGACAATGGTTATTCCTTGAACTTACCACTAAATTTAACAAATAAATGAATTAATTAACATTAATTTCAGGAAGAAAGTTTTTCTTTTGGCATCAGATACTATACACAAGTCCAGTATTTAACCATACCTAAAAAATATTACTTTTAAGAAAGGGACTTTTACCTAACAAGATGGCTTAATCGGGTTGAACATGAATGAAAAGAGAAATAAACTGTGGCCATGTTCACAATGAGAAGGATACCAAAGATTAGCCTAAACCCAGCTCATATTTCCTAATGCCTTCATACACGAAAGGTAGAGCAGACCAAGAAACTCCTTGAGGTTTAGTGGGGAAAGGGGCAAGAATGAGATTTGTCTCATATGTGTATATGTGTGTGTGTGTGTGTGTTCTTATTTCTTTTACCCTTCACTCAAAGGTTTCTGTATTCCTACTTTGTACAGATTTCCAGTTAATGACATGAATACGTGTCAGATTAGGAAAAACTACAAATTTATGAAAAATATTAGTGGAAATAACTTTTCTAAAAAGGTGAACATGGTGGTGTTTATTTAACTTAATTGAATTTGAAAGGAAACAGGTCATTTTCTGAGTGAGGCAATGAGATCCTATCAATTTAACAATGGCAAAGAGCCGAAATACTAAATCTTATTAAATATTCTACAGGTCACTTTGGCTCTGCCCACTGACAAATGACAGAAGACCAAGATTAGGGGACCTGCCTATGGTCCTAGAGAAATGTCACCAGCAAGAGGAGGAAAATTTCTCACATCAACGACAATCAGGAGTTCATTTTTACAATGCAAGCAGCAGAAACACTGTTCAAATCATTGTTTCTCAAACTGTGGTTATAACCCATTAGTGGGCTGTGAAATCAATTTAGTAGTTTATGACCAACTTAGAAAAAAACACAAACAGAAGAGAATAGAAATATATATATATAATATATATATATATAATGTATACTGTACCTAGTAAGAGCAGCATTTCTTGAAACTTTTAGTTTTATGTATGTGTAGTTATCTAACGGGTTGCAAGACACAATATATTTCATTCTGGGGATGATGGTAAAAATTTCAAAGTCCACTGGTTTACTCCCTTCTTTTGGGGGGATAAAGTGGGACAAAGGAGAAGAGTTCCCAATACAGGAATTGCTAAGGTAATATTTATACTTAAATTAGGAACATTTCCTCAAATGAGAAAAAAGTTATGTAGGAACACTGCTATGGACTGAATGTCTGTGCCCCCTCCCCAAATTCATATGTTAAAACCCTAACACCTAGTGTGATGGTATTTGGTGATGGAGTTTTAGGGAGGTGATAAAGGTTAAACAAAGTCATAAGGGTAGGGCCCTAATCTGACAGGGCTGGTGCCATTGTAAAAAAAGGAAAAGACACTAGAGCCCCCTTGCTCACTCTCTTTAGCTCCCTCTCCACTTCCACCATATGCAGACACAGCAAGAAGGTGGCTGTCTGAAAGCCAAGAAGAGAGGCTTTACCAGAAACTGAACCCTGTATTACCTTAATCTTGGACTTTCCAGCCTTCAAAACTATGAGAAAATAAACTTCTGTTGTTTAAACCACACAGTCTGTGGTATTTTGTTATGGCAGCCTGAGAAACTAATACAAACACTAAACAACTTATAGCCATATCTCATCAAATTCTGAACACCGAATTTAACTGTTCTCTTGAGACTAATATCAATTTCAGAGAAAAAAATCTAAGCCAACTCTGATCAAGTTTTCAGTGATTTAAAGCCTAAATCAAAACTGTACAAAATAGTTTAATAACAGCTGTAGGTAGACAAAAGCTTATCATTTAATTTGGAACCATTATAATATGGTAGCTTTATTACCAGTGTTGGATAGACACAGAGCGCAGTGAGGCATTTAACTGAATGGCTTGAGAGGAACTTGTGGTTCTTAGATATTTCTAGGGCAGGAGAAAGCAACAGTGACTGGCCCTGTCTTGTAGCTTGGCATCAAGAGAATTTGCATGGTCAACTCTGTGGAGGCCATCCAACTCTGGTATAGCAACACAAACCAGAGGTTTATCAGGTTTAAAATGTTACAAACATATCGAACACATACACTTTAAATCTATTTTTGAATGAATGGGGTGGAACCGATGGGAAAAGTTGGAGAGAGATATGAAATGGAAAAGTTAAGGCTCAGAAGGTAGTATCTGAATTATGAATGAGAGGCATTTAAGAAAGCAAGCTATATGAATGTGTTAGCTTGTACCACTTCAGCCACTAGTTTGACCAAATTAGAGATTACGAAAGGGACACTGCCAAATGAATTTATTTGGAAATAGAGGCTGTGGGTGGGTGGGGAGAATATTACAATTTCTATGGCTTTTTGGACCTCCTCAGAAGCATTCAATAAAATGCCTTTTCACAGGAAAAGTTGGGTTGTTTCCCACAAAACACAAAAATTACATTTTACCTAAAATGATTCAAAATGGTGTTCTTTACTTGCTATTCAACATTTACTCTTTGAGACTGTCTTGTCAGAGATGCAGCACTAAAGCACAATATAATTTATCATCATAAAACATAATTATGAAATTGTCAAAAAGTTAAAAAAAACAGAGTTGATGATGAGGATTTGTAATAACCATTAGGTATATCTGGTAAGACTTCAACATTTTGAAGAATGAGATTTAAGGACTCTCTAGCAACTGACAATGTCCCTTTAATAAATACCTAAAGAAAGCACATGCTGTGAATATTTTTGTATTCTAACAGATCAAATTTTCATTAGTGCCATGGTCTCACCCACCCTACCCCAAAATATATTTTAGCGTAAACATCTTACATAATAAACTCCTGCCCCAGTCACTGTTGCTCCTATAATTAAGAAGTATACTAGGCTGCTGCCATCTTTCCCAGAAGCACCTGTAGTCGCTAGTGATCTAGAAGGGTATCCTAGGTGATGACACTGCACAACTGTAGGTAAAGGTAAGGCCAAGGAGGAAACAAAAGGAAATAGAAAGTGCACTAAGTATTAATGAAGAAATATTCAATACAAAGGCAGGGAAGCAGTTTTGGTTATCCTGTGCTAAAAAAAAAAAAAGAAAAAAGAAAAAAATGCTGTTCCAGGATTGGAGGAGAATATATATTTCCTCAAAGTATCTTATCACATAGATCTTATGTATTTCTTACTCTGATTTGACTCACAGCTGGCAAGAGCTGCCTACTTTTCTTGTGCATTTGGGAGTCTGGTCAGAGTATAAGGATATAGGTAATGTCAAATAATCTTCATATCCCATTTTTTAACCTAGTGTCCAAGGAACAAAGTTCACTGTCTTACCAACGTAGAAAGAACAACTGTAATGGCATCTAACCATTTGCTCTTAGCAAGTAAAACAAACAGCTTTCTTCAATCAAGGCCGTTACTAGGTGTTATCTAAGTTGGTTCACTCAACCTTATAGGATCCAACTTTAGATCAATCTGCTTAGTCAAAGTAAACCCTGCCAAATTAAAAAAACCCTACAGAATAATTCTTCTGTGACCTGCTAAGCTGATCAGAGTTAATTTAAGAGGATATAATTGTGCTACTATTATGTAGCAGTTAAACACCATATTTCTCACCTCATACAAACTCCATTCTAAAATTGGAGATTCTAGGCCTGCTTCTATAATTTAGTCTTTGGGTGAGATTCAGGGATAGTTTTCCTTTTAGGAATGCTTAATATTTTTGATTGAAGGCTGTTTTATTATTATTATTATTATTATTATAGAAGGCTGTTTTTTTTTTTTTTTTTTTTTTTTTTTTTGAGACAGAGTCTCGCTTTGTTATCCAGGCTAGAGTGAGTGCCGTGGCGTCAGCCTGGCTCACAGCAACCTCAAACTCCTGGGCTCAAGCAATCCTCCTGCCTCAGCCTCCCACGTAGCTGGGACTACAGGCATGTGCCACCATGCTCGGCTAATTTTTTATATATATATCAGTTGGCCAATTAATTTCTTTCTATTTATAGTAGAGACGGGGTCTCGCTCTTGCTCAGGCTGGTTTTGAACTCCTGACCTTGAGCAATCCGCCCGCCTCGGCCTCCCAAGAGCTAGGATTACAGGCGTGAGCCACAGCGCCCGGCCTAGAAGGCTGTTGTTTTTAAATGTCAATCTCAAGCTGAGGAAAAATAAAATATTTGACAAATAAGTCAAAATCGAATATTGTGCTAAGGAGCTGCAATGAACTTTGACTTTATTCACAGGTTAGTGTTTCACATCCAAGAGAACAGGGATAGTTTTGTGGGTTAGTCAAGTCTAAGAAAACACAATGACATTCAAGTAAAGAGTAAAAAGGCAAGTGAAAAGAGCAGAAATCAATCAACATGAGATTAAATTTCAGTCATTCCCAAATTGGCTCTGATAGGATATTAGACAGTAGGCACTTTAAAGGCGGCTTTTTGGAAATTTTTCCAAAAGGAGAAAGGGGAATTAGTTGCAAAAGTTTTAAAGCAGAGTAGTATTGAGTCTATTAATGGGAGCTGTTTGGCAGCTTCTTCACACAAGCTGCTTTTCTACTTACATATGCACCAGCTCCTATTGTTGACAAGCCCACAATAAGGACTAATACAGAATTATCGATTTTGCCCCCTGATGCACCAGAGCTAGCCATTTGTCTTGTCATCTGGAGTTCTAGAGGAACATGCCATCGCTGGAACAAGTTGCCTAAGGAACATAATTTATTAAGACACACACATACAAAAATAAAATAGTTAATACATGTTTATAATTAAATGTCAATGCATTGAACAAATAACGACTTATTGCCTAATGGGCTTCGGGTGTTCACTGTTAAATGACCAAGAAAAATATAATCAAAACTGTACACATAAATACTACAGATATCTGAATGAACATTCTTAAGTTGCTGGAGTTTTTGAGAGTACAATATGATGCCACTCAGTGAGGAAATTTATAGCTTCCAGAAAAGATCATGAAAAAGGTATAAGTAGTTTAGTTCATCAAATACTTCCCTTCATGTCTTCCCCATAACTGAAGTAAACACAGAGAGATGACTGAATAAGTAGATACACAAAGTTAACAATGGGCTACCTCGGACATTATAACAACCATTTAAGGAGTAATCTAAATGGCTCAAATCTTGCACAAAATAAAACCCTGCAGTGCAATCCAACCAGGACACAGTTCAGTCTCATGTGAAAGACAATGTGTTCTGGAAGATAGAAACACTAAAGCCCAGAAGAAAATCAGAAAACATTAATACTGATCTAGCTCTACCACTTCTTAAAAATAAAAAAAGAAAAAGATAAAAAATTTAAAAATTAAAGAAAAAAAAGAAGAAAATCAGAAAACAAAATTTAAAAATGAATTTATCTCTCCCAAAGAACTGAAGAGTTTTGGACTAAGAAATAATTTTTAGAATGACAAAATTTAAAGTGTCCACCACCTACGTGGCTCTTACTCCTCCAAATTAATATAGAATATTTTGATGTAAAACTATGTATACCTAAGTAATGATCTGGTGATCATAATAACACTCGCACATGGAAACACAAGTTTCATAGGTTTCTTTCTCCAGGAGGGTGCTGACATTTTCAGGTGAAGGAAGATCTCAGTACCTTCTCTGCTTGTAATTATTCCTGTTTGTGGACTATCAACCTAGAGCAGCACATTTTTCCTGCAAGGGACTAGACAGTAAATATTTTTAGCTTTGTGGGCCATTTTGTCTCTGCTGCAACTGCTCAATTCAGCTGATGTTGAGTAAAAGCAGCTGCAGACAATACATAAATGAATGGATGTGGCCATGTTCCCATAAAACTTTACTTATGAACACTGAAATTTGAATTTTATATCATTTTCATGTGTCACAAAATTGTCTATTTTTTCCCCAGCCATTTAAAAATGTAAAAACCACTCTTAGCTCATGGGACATACAAAAGCAGGAGGCGGCTGATGGGGTGTGGCCTGTGGCTATAGTTTGCAGACCCTCAAGAGCACATCAGAATCCCTTGGAGGACTTGTGAATACATACCTGGCCAGACCCCAGCCTCAGAGTTTCTGATTCAATACATCTGGCATAGGGATCAATAATTTGCATTTCCAAGTTCCTAAGGGATACTGCTGCTGCTGTTACGGTGGGGACCAGACTTTGAGAACCTTCCATCTAGAGGCTGGTACATATGTTCCTGTCCTGACTAGGTTTTGTTTTTTTTTTTTTTTGAGAGAGTCTCACTCTGTCGCCCGGGCTAGATCACAGCAACCTCACATTCCCAGGCTCAAGCAATCCTTCTGCCTCAGCCTCTCGAGTAGCTGGGACCATAGGTATGCACCACCATGCCCGGCTAATTTTTTCTATATATATTTAGTTATCCAATTAATTTCTATTTTTAGTAGAGATGGGGTCTTGCTCTTGCTCAGGCTGGTTTCAAACTACTGACCTTGAGCGATCCTCTCACCTCGGCCTCCCAGAGTGCTAGGATTACAGGCACGAGCCACCACGCCTGGCCCTGACTAGGTTTTGTTTTTTTTTTTTTTTTTTTTTTGAGACAGAGTCTCACTCTGTTGCCTGGGCTAGAGTGCTGTGGCATCAGCCTAGCTCACAGCAACCTCACATTCCCAGGCTCAAGCAATCCTTCTGCCTCAGCCTCCCGAGTAGCTGGGACTACAGGCATGCGCCACCATGCCCAGCTAATTTTTTTGTATATATATTTTTAGTTGGTCAATTAATTTATTTCTATTTTTGGTAGAGACGGGGTCTCGCTCAGGCTGGTTTCGAACTCCTGACCTTGAGCAATCCGCCCGCCTCGGCCTCCCAAAGTGCTAGGATTACAGGCGTGAGCCACCGCGCCCGGCCCCTGACTAGGTTTTAAAAGACAAATAGAATGGACATTGGTAGTACAATCCCATCTATACTTGTAGAGATTAGAAATGGGGAGAGTTCAACTTTGCCTTCACAATGTCAGGGCACAGAGGGGTAAAAACAAGCCCAACGCAAGTCTGCACTCTCTTATTATTTTTTTTGGAACGCTTTGAATTTGTGTGCCATCCTTGCGCAGGGGCCATGCTAATCTCTGTATCGTTCCAATTTTATTTTGTATATGTGCTGCCGAAGCGAGTACAGCAGTCTTTTATTTGAAAGCCTTAGAACTACGTGTCTCAGAACTCAGAATTGTTTAATCTTGATTATATAGTGCATATACCACATAGTGACACCAAGCACAGTAAAGGGCAGCAACCCATAGTCAAACAGATTGATATTTGTATGACCACACTAAGTGAAATGTTAAAAAGATTATAAGTAGCCTCTTTCCAGTTCAGGTCAAGTTTTAGTGGCAAATGAATTACAAAAACCTGATGGTCCTATTTTGATTTCTGAAATATAGACAAGAGACTTTGGGGCCAGATGAGGGTATAATCCTAGCCCTCAGGGAGGCCAAGGTGGGAGGATCACTTGAGACCAGGAGTTGGAGACCAGCCTGAGCAAGAGTGAGACTCTGTATCTATAATAAATAGGAAAATTACCCAGGCATAATGGCATGGCCCCGTAGTCTCAGCTATTAGGGAGGCTGCGGCAGGAGGATCACTTGAGCCCAGGAGTTTGAGGTTGCTGTGAGCTATGATGACACCATGGCACTCTAGGCTGGGCAACAGAGCAAGACTCTGTCTCGAAAAAAAAATGTTTTGGATCTATACTCTTAGAAAAGGAAATATATTTTTCCTTTTTTATTTCTTACCTGTTTTAGAATTCTTCATCACCACATGAAGTAAAATGGTTTAAATTTAGAAATAAAAACAAATTATGAAAATAAAAATGTGAAGGGGATAAAAGATTATCTCAATTTGGGTAAGCTGTTGATTTTAAGAAGGCCACAAAAATGATGAAGCATTAAAAGTAGAAACTGGGCCAGGTAAGGTAGCTCACACCTGTAATTGTGACACTCTGGGACTCTGAGGCAGGAGGACTGCTTGAGGTCAGGAGTTCGAGACCAGCCTGAGCAAGAGCGAGACCCCTGTATCTACCAAAAATAGAAAAATTAGCTGGGCAACTAAAAATAGAAAAAATTAGCCAGGTGTGGTGGTATGTGCCTGTAGTCCCAGCTACTCAGGAGGCTGAGGCAGGAGGATTGCTTGAGCCCAGGAATTTGAGATTGCTGTGAGCTAGGCTGATACCATGCCATCCTAGCCCGGGCAACAGAGTGAGACACTATCTCAAAAAAAAAAAAAAAAAAAAGTAGAAACTGATTAACTCTCAGAGCTTAGAAAAATGAAACCGGTTAGGAAAAGTTCAACATGGTTAAGTTTAGTTCAACAAATTTAGTTTGTCTTCTACCTCCACCCCAGGTTCATTTACTAAAAATAAATGTTTAAAAAAATTCTGTTTACCTCTCTAGAAGACCCTAAATATAGACATCATGACAAATTTGTTTTACTATATTACTGATGTGTTTATTCTGTTTTTGTTTGTTTTTCACAAACTGATTAAACTAAGATTGTAGATTTGGGAAAGTTCAGCAGCTTTTGCCTCAATTTGCCAAAAAAGAAAAGAAAAGAAAAGAAAAAAAGACATTTAAAAGTAAATTGATTCTTGAACTGATAAGAACAGATACCATAAATCCTAAATGTGAAGAAGAAACTGCACTTCCTCACATTCAAGCTTAGCCAAAAGGCTGTGAAGCAATCAGTAAATTGATTTTTTAGAAAGGAAACTGGTTAATATTTAAACTACTGACTGCTTCAAAAGAAACGTAATACAGCCTTATCATTAACAAACCAACTTTTTACATACCTATAAAGTGACTAAGTAACTTTAATTTTGTAAAAGATACTAAGTATTGTATGTTTACATACCCCCCATTGTCTTTTACCCATAAAATTACTTCCCTACCTTTCTCACCATGGCTTCAAAATTTTACATCATGACTGAAACATGCCTTTTCAGTTGTCTTACTAATGTAGGAAAAGCCAACTTACTCCTTGACTTCTCATTATTGAGCCAGTTTACTTATTTTAGGTCTTCTGCAGTCAGATTACACATACAGTGTGGTTTCTCCCTCACACTTAGGATTCAATTCTCAATAAGCCAATTTGCTCTGTGCAACAGTGCCTGACACAAAGTAGGAGTTTTTCAGTAAAAATTTGTTATGGCTCATGCCTGTAATCGTAGCACTGTGGGAGGCTGAGGCAGGCGGATCACTCAAGGTCAGGAGTTCGAAACCAGCCTGAGCAAGAGTGAGACCCCCATCTCTACTAAAAATAGAAACAATTAATTGGACAAATAAAAATATATAGAAAAAATTAGTCGGGCATGGCGGCACATGCCTGTAGTCCCAGCTACTCGGGATGCTGAGGCAGAAGGATTGCTTGAGCCCAGGAGTATGAGGTTGCTGTGAGCTAGGCTGATGCCACGGCATTCTACACTGGGCAAAGAGTGAGACTCTGTCTCAAAAAAAAAAAAATGTGTTGAGTTAGTGAATGAAGGAAAGAAACAGACGTTCTTCCTAATTCTACTGATATAGACTGAACATTTTATTTTATTTTTTAGTGACCGGGTCTTGCTATGTTACCCAGGCTGGCCTTGAACTGCTAGGTTCAATCTATTTTCCCCACCTAAGCCTCCTGAGTAGCTGGGACTACAGGCACTCACAACTACACCCTGCTGACTGAACATTTTAAAGAATTCTTTGCAAAGAACTTTTAGCCAGATCCCATTTATTTCAGGTTGCTTAATAATAAATTAGTTAACTTCACGCACTGCAGACTAGCATTAGAATAGTACCTAAACCAGCAAGTTCATTTCTGTTGGTTTCATAATCTGTTTTTCCATACTCCCAGATGGCCTTTTCCAGAAATACATCCTCATAATTGAGGCATCCAGGAATCCCAAATGTTAAGAGGTTATATGCTCTTAAGACCTGTTTCCTAAGTGTCAAACTGATTTTTTTTTTTTTTTGAGACAGAGTCTCACTTTGTTGCCCGGGCTAGAGTGTCGTGGTGTCAGCATAGCTCACACCAACCTCAAACTTCTAGGCTTAAGCGATCCTCATGCCTCAGCCTCCCAAGTAGCTAGGACTACAGGCATGCGCCACCATGCCCGGCTAATTTTTTTATATATATATTTTTAGCTGTCCAATTAATTTCTTTCTATTTTTAGTAGAGATGGGGTCTCGCTCTTGCTCAGGCTGGTTTTGAACTCCTGACCTTGAGCAATCCTCTCGCCTCGGCCTCCCAGAGTTCTAGGATTACAGGCACGAGCCACTGTGCCCGGTCTCGAACTGATTTTTGCAACATGGATAAAACACAAGCCAAGACAAGCCTAGTTTGTCCACTGTAACCAGGTGACTCTTTATAAGAATCTAACAACTATTTAACTTTATCAGCCTTGCTGGAATTTCAGGAGAATCAGAGTAGTAATAACTATAATACAGGCTGGGCGTGGTGGCTCACGCCTATAATCCTAGCACTCTAGGAGGCCGAGGTGGGAGGATCACTCAAGGTCGGGAGTTCAAAACCATCCTGAGCAAGAACGAGACCCCGTCTCTACTAAACAAATAGAAAGAAATTAATTGGACAGCTAAAAATATATAGAAAAAATTAGCCGGGCATGGTGGCACATGCCTATAGTCCCAGCTACTCAGGAGGCTGAGGCAGAAGGATTGCTTGATCCCAGGAGTTTGAGGTTGCTGTGAGCTATGCTGACGCCACGGCACTCTAGCCTGGGCAACAGAGCGAGACTCTGCCTCAAAGAAAAAAAAAAATCTATAATACAGTGTGAACCACTCTGATGAAAAGCACAAAAGGAAAAATTATTTAGATGACAGAAAAATAAATCTAACTCTGTTCTGCAAAGTTAAGTCCTTTATAGTGCTGAACTAGGGTTCAGTCACTGAGAATTTACCATGTGACAAACTGGACAAAACACTGAGGACACAAAAACAAATGGGACTTAATCCACATCCTCAGGTAGTATATAGTTTAGGAGGAGAGAATGGCTGCTACTATTCTAAATATGAGAACATGGGCTGGATACAATTCACAAGAGACTCAAGGTTGCTCAGTTTGGTTTTTTGATCCTTAGGTCAATGAAACAGAAGGGAAAGAGTCACTACTCATCCAAAATCATATTTACCAAACGTGCCTGATCAAATCAATTATATCAGGGGCTTGTTAAAATACAGATTCCCATTCATTCTTATTCTCACTCCCAGGATTCTCCTAGAGAGTCTCACTCACTCT